AAGTGATAATGATTTAATGCCCACCTATCAGGTAGAAGGCACTATGCTAAATGATATGTAATTTGTCTCTAATCTTTACAGCAAATATGGTATTGATGTTTCCTTTCCACAAGTGATAAGACTGAATCTCAGAAGTTCAAATGACTCACCCAAGGCTATACAGCGTTCCAATAGTAAGTAGGCCTGGGGTTAAATTCTTATTCTTAACTGCATATGTATCTGAGTTTTAACTCTATGTTATGCATTCTTACTTCACATAGTTCAGCATAGGCAGGAAATGTAGATTTCAGGGGATTGACAATTATTATGAGGGGGGCACATAATTTTTTATCGATTAAAAATGGATTTAGAGGTGGAAAATGTATGATAGAAATTAAATAAAATTTGTGATTGACTCCCTAATATACCTGTTCCAAGGCAGTGTATGGAACTAACTAACCCCTCATTATATGGAGGGCCCTGATTAGTCTATGTCCATCTTGGCCATCCCACCAGCCCCTGCTAGAAATTGGTTCAGGAAGTTTGGTCTAAGCCGATTCGATCATGGCAATCTTTTTACGATAATTTCTCGTTAAGGAATAACCATAAGGTCTAAACTGTCAAAACCAGATGAAGGGATGGACATTTGTAGAGATGTCTTAGTTCTTTCTCCTGTTATATGTGAACAAGAAAGCATTTAGTCTCTATTATTTGGGCAGATAGACAATGACTACAATGAGCTCTAGGGTAAGACCGACTTTGTAGACAACAGAGTGAAGAGATGGAACCAACCTTGGTTCTTGAAAAATATTTGAGACCCTGAATGAACCAATTTAAAAATCTACTTTCTGTCATGAGAGCCAATACATTTCCTTATTGTTTAAACCCATCTGAGCTGGATTTTCTATTGCTTGCAACTGGAGGCATCCTAAAGATACAAAGTATAAAGGAGAACGCCCTTGGTTTATGAAAGATTAAAACTGGAGTAATTCCTTATCTGTTATGTATTAGCATAGATAAACAGAAAAGAGCATATCCAATAATAAATTACCCCAGATAAACCCCTTGGAATTGAAAAATGACAAGTTAATTGAGAAAACTGATGGAACAGCTGGCTGACTAGAAGCAAACAGCCAAATAGGTAAACACATAATGCAATAAAATTATTAAAATGATTTAATAATTTACCTATAGGATAATGGAATAATCATTTTGGATAGAAATTTGGGACTTATTAAAGATGTACTATTATAATCAATATTTTTATGACAATAATGTTCAACAGAGTATTAAAAATTAGAGAAAAAAAATTTAGACCAAAATTAACAAAAACTCATAATTAAACATTCTGTGTGTTTCACATTGCTACATCAATTTAAAAAAGAGGCCCAAAAGGGTTGGAGAAACTACCATGTGACAGCATTGAATGATGAAAGCTGACTAGATACCAGGAGAACTCAGTTTCATGCAGGCCTTGCCACTTTCCAGTAAAGTAACTTAGAAGTTCACTTTGTACCTCTGGGACACAGAAAGTTTTCAGATACCGTGTTTGGAAAGATGGGTTTTTCAATTAAGATTCCAATAAAACAGTTTCTCTAGGCTGGTGTTTAAAGATGGAATAGGTGACGTGTGTGTGTGTGTGTGTGTGTGTGTGTGTGTGTGTGTGTGTGTGTAAAGGGGATAAGTAAATATACAGAGAGGGAAGGAGGGAAGGCAGGTAGAGTATGTTTGGTTAGAGTAGCAGCAATCTATAAAGGTTGGGAAAAGTAGGTTGAGGGAAGGCCTTGAACAACAGGACACTAAGTGTGAACTTTGTTATGAAGGAAGTAGAGAGCCTATAATGTTATTAAATGGGAGATGGATCAATACATTTGATGTTATATAGGAAGAGTTAAGAGTCAAAACAGACCATTATTCAACTTGAATCACTGAGCTAAATGATTTAGGACCTACAATAACTGCAGAATTTAGTGCTTGGATAAATTGGAATAGTAGAATAAAGGAATAATCTGGAGGAGGATCTCAAAATTAAAATAAATTCTGGTGATAACACTGAAGTGCAGAGATGGGAAGATTCTATTTTGAAGAGAGCTGAAAGTGTCAGGAATAGTTATTGAGAGCAATGTTATAGGGAATCAATAATCGTAAAACAGTAATATTGCTGAACAACACTGGGAGCTTATATGAAGTGAAAAACGTAATTTTATAGGGGCTGAGTCTACATAGTTCCATTAGATTCTTTATGCTCTATGCTTGCAACATAGTTGACTGAGTTGACAAGATGGCATGATAGGTATCAAGGAAGTCATGGATTTCAGATAGGGATTAAATTAGGTTTAGCTGGTGAGTGTATAAGTTAAGTGAAGTCCACGTTAAACTCAGGAGAGGACTCAATATATGTGAGAAGACACCTATTGTAGGAGATTAAAGCTTTTGTCAAAGATTTAATCTCTCCAATTATAGATTGAAATACACATGGCAGAGCTTCCAGAACATAAGTTAGGAGTTCTACAGGTGCAAATGGGGCAATTGATAGTTCAAAAACTCCTCTATTCAACCTAAAATCTTTGGCCCAGCAAGCACACCCAAAATCTTATTGGGTGCATAAGCCCATTCTTTAGTTTCTTATACTCCATGTAGCCAGAATCCAGCCTATATGAATCATCTTTGCTACTTGCATTTACTTTTTAATATTTAGGTCAACGCTTCTTATGAGAACAACTGTGTGTGTGTGTGTGTGTGTGTGTGTGTGTGTGTGTGTGTGTGTGTTTTGGAGAGAGTATGTTTATTAAATCTGGGGACCATGAAACAAGAAAGGACCTAGGATAGAAAAGCAACAAGAGAGAGACTAGAAAGGTCTGCTTTGGCTCTCTAGAAACATTGTGGGGAAGAAGTGAGCCAAAGTGAGGCTGCTGTCAGCTCACTGAAAAGTCAGAGAAAAGGGGGCTGTGGCGACAGGTTCAGAGAGTTAGCATGGGATGAGCTGCCACTGCCCATGGTTCCCCTAGTTGCAAGTCTTGTGGGGACTTTAAAGTTTAGGAGAAAGAAAATTCACTCGAAAAGGAGATTCAAGTGGGTGTGCCCCAAGGATGGTATGCCAACACTGTCTTGATTACTGTTGCCTCACAGTAAGTTTTGAAATCCAACTTTGTTCTTCTTGTATAAAATGGATTTATCTATTCAGCATCTTTGGAAATCCATATGAACTTTAGAATCATCATTTCAATTTATACAAAAAGTCAGCTTAGATTCTTTAAAA